GTCAGCATGCTCTGCAACCTCACAGTTAGAAGAAGAAGCGAAAAAACAGCTTACTGCAGAATTGTTCATAAAGTTCATTAAGCACAAGTGCAGGGATATGCAGGTGGCAAAAAGGATGGAGTCATGGGTGAGGAATGCAGAAATACTGAATCTAGTTGTAATGTTAGTTGTACCAAAAGCTGAAGAAAGTGATTCAGGGAGGAAATGGTTTCCCATCTTTCAGAAAAGCACACCTGTTCTGTTTAGAATAATAATGCCAACAGTACAAGCATGATAGTTTTGCTCAACAGAAGAGATCAGGATGATAGATTTGTCAACTTGTAGAAAAAAGTTGTCTAAATGGTTGTGGCTCATGTGAGCAGCTGTATGAAGAGCTCTCTGATTTCTACAGCAAAACTGGGTGCCTAGTTCTGCACAGTTATCTACATTGCTTGTGGAAGAAAAAAAAAAAAAGCAAATTAAAAAGAAAACTGGGGGAGGGTGGGATGGCACAAGCAGTAAGTTCTTAGATACCAGAGATTCATTACCACCTGAAAGCAGTCATCAGAAATCTCAGTAATATCTATCAAATAAGGTGTGGTGTCTTAAAAGCGTTAAGGACCCTTCTAAAAAGTTTTGTGTTCTGCTTTGTTTTCAGCAAACAAAAAAATGCAGGCTTAGTGTTGACATTCCGATGTGACATAAATCACCTCTCCATGATAGTATGTAATAATATAAATCTGTAATTACTAGACAGAAAGGAGAAAATGTCCCTGGATATTCAGACAAATATAAGAAACTAATAAATTTTAATCCCCTCTAAAATGCATCCTTAATGAGCATGCTCAATATTATTTTAATATATACCCTTTTATTATATTCGTAAGCTGATCAAATCAGCAGAAGTGGAAAACTATGTGGTTCTGGTTTTTATATAATCTTGCTTGCTTGTGGTGAGAGAAAAACATAGTAAAGAAAATTGCTTATTTTAGTTAAGGGAAGAAATAGAAGTCTTTGTTGCTCTTTACATTTATAGGGGAAAAAAATCTCACCAAATTAACACATCACAGAACTGTCTGTCTTGAAACAACATGCTAAGTTTTACTTGCTGCATAAGTCATATTCTGGAGAGAGACTTTTGAAGCAAAAGGTTTCATTACCCACTGCTACTCAGAAGACTCTAAGCAGCAGCTCTTACTGCATTTTCAGATTTCTAGAAATTGTTTCTGAATTTTAATTTTTTTTAAGGCTGAAGAAAGTAGCTCTTCCTAAGTGTAACTTTACAACTTTCCTTCAAACATTGGTCCATGCTTACTGGATATGTAAAACCAAAGGAAAGTAAAAATGAAATTACTAATGTGGGCCTAAAATATTATCTGTGCGTATGCTGGACTCTGTACTCTGAACTTATGCAGTTAGTAGCTCAGATCAGTTCATGGATTGCAAGACAAAAAAATTACTTGGATTATCTGATCTCACTCCTCTGGTGGAGACTACTAGAACTCTAGTATCCTGCAGTGACTGAGCACTCTGTACTGCTATCCTTATGCAAAAGTTTTGACAAAGTGAAGATGCAAGAAAAATACTAAATGTTCTGCATTGGCAAAATGATCCAGCTGCAACTACTGATGGTTTCATCAAAATTCATCCAGTGGGGCTTTGCACCTCTGGCTCTCCTGGCGGCATAAACTTCTTTTGGCTTAGGCATGACATACAGTTAGACTTTTCCCCACACCATCAAGAATGTAAGTTGTGCAGGTAAAGTAAAAAACTCATCAGCATAATGCTAATTCCTATAAACTGTCTGAAAGAGTCTCAACCAGAAAAACATGTTTCTACCAGATCATCACTCTGCCACAGTGTTTTAATCTGACTTCAGTATAAACTGACTTCAGTATATTGTTAATACATGTCTTCAGCCACACACATATAAAAATAAATAATAGTAGTTTTCCTATCTCAGATATTTTGTTAATAAATACGTTGCTATGGAATATCATAAATGTCCTCTATATAAACATCATCATCAATCCCATTGAACAGTCATTATACAAAGAAGAAAAATGTGTTCAACCACCCCTAAAGCTCCAATTTTCTGCAGTTATCTTGCTAGCTTGTATGCTATAAGCAGCATAACATGGAAGTCAGTATGGAATTTTGTCTGGGGAAGGGATAATGTTCTTTACAGTAGTTAGATTTATGCTGAAGACAAGTGTTGATAACTCAGGGATGTTTTTGTTACTGTGGAGCAGTATTTAGACAGTAACAAGGCCTTTATTGCTCCTCAAGGGACCCCACCAATAAGGTGCGCAAGAAGCTGGGAGAGGACACAGTTGGAAACACTGACCCAAGGGATTCAGTATACCATGGTGTCATGCTTGGCATATAAAGCTGTGGGAAGAAGGGAGAAGGACCCAGGATATTCAGTGTGGTGGTCTTTATCTTCCCAAGTCAATGTTACACCTGACTGAGCCCTGTTTTTCTGGGATGGTTTAACACTTGTCTACCTATGGGAAATGAGTGCATTTCTTGTTTTGCTTTGCTTTGCTTGCATGCATGGCTTTTTATTTACCTATTAAACTGTCCTTATCTCACCTCATGAGTGCTCTTACTGGGGTACTTACAGGGGTGAACTTTTCTGGTTCTGTCCCCTGTGCCACTCCAAGGGACAGTGAGTGAGTGGCACTTGGTTGCCAGCTGGACATAAACCATGACAAGGGCAATCTACTAAAATGATAATTGTAGAAAATCAGATTGCAACAAGCAATCTATTACCACAACTAGTGGCAGCTCCTGTCCCATCTGTCTAGTTTTCGTACACCTGAATGTAGCTGGCGGACCCCAAAGCATTATGAAGAGACCCTGGGAATGTGCAGAGAAAAACACAGTAAATGAGATTAATAACTTGTTATTTACTGAGAGTTTACTTATATCATATAGCACTGTTAGAGAGTATATGCAGGAGTGGAAAAAAACCATTCAGGTACTTGCTTATTTCAGCACAAAGAAGAAAGAAGAAACTTTCTCTTGCTTTAGGATGCTTTTTCGAAAGTAGAGTAGTCAGGGGTTCTGCCCACTCTTGGAACAGGGCCTGGGACTCAGTATTGCCTCTTTATCATATATAACCAGTGTCAACACTATCTGCAGTTCTTAAAACTTCCTTTGCAAGAGCTCTGTAAGACAGTTTAGTCCTGCCCATTGAGTTGCAATATAACATGAAGCAGTTCAATTTAAAAATCTGAAAGGAAATTTTGAGAAGTTCTGATAGTATTAGACTGTTCTTATCTTCCATTTTTCTATCTTGAAAATACTCATATAACCAGAAACTAGTTAAAGCTGCAGATTCTGAATATATTAAACAAAATGTCATCCACTCTAAAGATTCAGAGCTGAGCCAGATGGCACATCTGACTGCAGTGTATATGAGCCACTGTACTCCTACTGCTGTGAAAAGCAGAAACTGAAGCATCAGAGGATGAAGCTAGTTTACCAGGAATCTCTCTTATGGCTCTGACCTAGGGCAGCCACTGTCTCTAAGTGGTGTGACTATTGCACATAGGTTTGAGTAAGCATGTGACAAAGTTGTTTTATAAATATCATGGAAGATAAAAACCAGAGTGAAGTAAGGACCTTGAACAAAATGGAAGAAAAATGGAAGCAGAACATTGAAATGCTATGTTATTTCTTCTCTTTAACACACACGGGTACACAATAGTTCCTTCTGCACTTGGAATTCAATGTGCATGAGTCAGCCTGTCCGATATCAGCAATTACAGCTGTAAATGCAGAGCTATTATGCACTCATGTTGTGTAGCTTGGGAGTAGTCTATTCTACCAGGAACAAAAAGGTCTTGAGTAGTTTAGGGTTCTTAACCATTCTCAAGCAGCAAGCAGGCAGTCAACTGTGCAGCCTTGCTTCACACAGCAGGAATTCAGCTCCAGCACTCTGCTCCCTGAGAAGAGCCCAGGACCCTGTAGGAGTGACATTCTCTTGCATGCAGCAGTGTTGCAAAGTCCCAGTAACCTCCCATTTTCATCAGCAGGAAATCTTTGCACATTTTTTCTCACAGCTTCCTTTCCACAGTCATTCATTTACACTGATTTATAGCCTTCCTCACTGTCCTCCTCCTCAGTTCTTCCCCCTCAATTTTTTCCTGAAGCCTGAAAAACTTAAACATGGAAAGTACATGTTGGGGGAATTAAAAATCTGGATTTTTTACGTTCTCAGTATGGATGGCAATGACCAGGTGGATGATGTTAGCGGTCCTGCTCAGGGTGCATGTGTGCTGGTAGCTGGCCCAGAAAGCAGTTTTATGTCAGAAACAGAATTCAGAGCTCATATGTGACAAAGGAGGAGAAACAAAATGAGAGGCAAGCAAAGTGACCTGGTCCTCTGATCCTGACCTCTGGCCCAGGCCGAAAGGCTCAGCTCTGAACAGGGGTTGAGAACACAGGCTAAGACAGGAGAAAGCTGGAGCTGTTCAACCTGCAGGAGAGAAGGATGCATGGAGATCTCACAGCAACCTTCCAGTACCTGAAGGCGGCCTGCAGGGAAGCCGAAGATGAACTCTTGGTCATGAAGAGAGAGATAAGACAAAGACTAATGGGTACAAATTGAAAGAGAGGAAATTTACTTAGGGAGAAATTTCTCAGTGTGAGCAGTGGAGCCAGAGCCCCCCGTCACAAACGGGCCAACAGGTGCCGTCACTCTTGGTGCCCCACCGCGGCCCCGCACGGCCTCAGAGCGCACGCGGCCCGCACAGCCCCTCACAGACCTGCGGGCCTGGGGCCACCAAGCCCAGGGGCGCACGCGGCCCGCGCCGCAAAGCAGCCCCCAGAGCGCCCTCATCCGCAGGGCGAAGGGAAGCGGCCGGGGGCGGGGAGGGCTCGCCGGACGCCCACCGAGCGGTCCCGCCGCCTCGCCCCCGGGACGGGCGGGAGAGAAGAGCTGCTGGCGGGAGGAGCCGTCCCGCGGCACCGCCTCCCGCCGTCATCTGCCGCTGGAGGTGAGGGAGCGCGGCAGTGCCGGCCGGGAGCGCCGGGGGCGGCAGGTCGGTCCCCCTCTCCGGCCTCGGGGTGCTCGGCAGGGCGCCGGCGGCGAGGGGTCGCCCGCCGGAGCGGTCCCGGTCCAGATCTCGATCTCGATCTCGGTCTCGGTCCTGCCGCTGGCAGCGCGGAGCTTGCCTTGCCCTGCCCTGCCCTGCCTTGCCGTGTGTCCCCTGCTGCGGACGGGCGGGCGCGGCGTGCCCGGGGACTGCGGCGCGGGCTCTCCGGGTTAGTCTGATTGTGTTTTTATTGCTGTTCAGTTCGGCCTCAGGGAGAAGGGCTGGGGGGAAGGAGGGCGGCGCAGGGCGGAGGCCGGCGGGGCCCCCGAGCCGGGCTGGGGCAAGTGCTGAGCCGCTCGGGGCGGCGGGTCCTGTCCCCCCTGGGAGCCCCGGCGGCACCCGAGGCCTGAAGGAGCGGCGGAAAGCGGGTCTCGTTCCTGTGCGCTGTGTGTGTGTGTCGGTCTGTCTGTATGTCGGTCTGTCTGTCTGCGTTTTAGGAGGGGGGAGATTTTTCTGTGAACTTCCACGGACTTTTAAGTCTCTTAATTGTGGGGCTGCAGCACTTTAAGAAAAAAAAAGAGCACCAGCAGCATGTGGGGGAGCGGGAGGTAGATTCCTGCATGCCTGAGGTGTTGGCCATTTCGGGATTGAGCTCTGCTGCAGCTGAACGGGCTTTTCCAGGTGCACGCAGCCCATCCCCGTGGAGGTCCGGCTGGCCGCTGCAGGGAGAGCAGGGCTGGATTGAGACTTTTCTGCCCAAGAGGCTGGTTTTGCTAAATAGAGCCCGATAGCAGAAAAGTCCTTAAATAGTAAACTTACCTGTTAGTACCATAAAATGACTTCTGTAAAGTAGCAATCTCTCCAATACCTTGCTTAGGTGATCAGAGGTTTTTGGGTTATCCTCTGCCCCCCTCTTTTCTCTTTAATGCTGCCTCTTAAAAGCTAAGCTATGGTACATGCTATTGCTTTAGGAAAACTAGGTGTTGGTGTTGTTATCTCTCCCTAAGGAAATGTAAATAGACTTGCTTCATGTTGCTTCTGAAAGGATATTGCTTAAGGTGAAGAAACAGAGGGTTTGTTCCTTTTATTTTGTTAGTCATGTATTTAAGTAGATGATTTGACACTAACATTTGGATAATGTAAGGTGAAGAGGGTTTATATAAATGTTGAAACCACAGAAATCCTGCTTAAAATGAACCTAAGCAGCACTGGCGGTTCTGAAATTTATGAATGTATATTGTAGCACCCACCAGACTTTTTTATGTAGCAATGTAAATTTATAGGATGTTTATCTCATTGTTTATTAGTGTGGAGATGCTTATAATGATGCTTATAATGAAGTTAATTAAATTGTGTCTCAAAATTCTTCCATCTTCAAAGTGGAGAATACATGTTCTGATGAATGCCTAATGTAGTTGTTACTCTGACTCTTCCAAAACCTATAATAATACCTAATTTTTCATCTCTTTCTCCACCCAAATATTTTTTCTATCCATAATCTATTGGGTTTTTTGCTTATAGCCATTTCAAAACTGATTCAGAAAAACCAAAATTGAACACAATTACTCAAATCTCTTTTGCTCTTGAAGATCAGTGTCTAATAATTAATTTATTGGGAGAAAATAAAACAGGACTGTAAATATGTTCCTCTTAATTCTTTTTATTTTACTGTATTACATTCTTTCCTTGATTCTTCCCTTCCTGCAATTAGATAAAACAGAGATTTGAAAATTCTAGGTCTGGAAATTGATCCTTAAGCCATTAAAAGCAGCAGGAGGTTTCTTTCTCCAAAATCATTGAGTGCTAGTTAAAGAGTGTCTTTGGTTATATATTTCAATATTCTTGATATTGGATGAATTGAAACATGTGCCTAAGAATAAGCATTTGCTCACATGTTTTACTGTAATAGAGTGTGTTTGTGGAATGGTGTTGGTTTCTCTGTTTCTTGTCTAGCCTGTAGGGAGCTAAAGGGTTTGAGTTTTTTTCTTTTACTTTTGACACCAGTAGAATGGGCTAGAAACTACAAAAACTGCTTTCTCTGTGGTCATGTAATGTTCTCCATGTGCCGTTGAAAATGTGCTTACCCATTCTTCCAGTCCTGAATGTACTGTACCTAATCAGTGTGTTTATATTCTGTGTAACCAAGGCACATTAGGTGTGTTGGCATTCTTGGCTACTTTAGAGTAGAAACTGGCAACAACCTCTCCTTGGGCAGCTGGTTACAAGGCACTGCCTCCCCCTTTCCCCCCAGCTCACATTTGGTTTTAAGGGTAGATAAGGGCTGGCACAGCTTCCATGCCCTTTTCAGCACCCTGCACAATACAATGCTGTGCTAGCAATTGCTGAGAGCCTCCCTAAAGGTTTGTCTTACACAGTGACTGAAGAATGTACACTTGTTGGTGTTGCAGTGTGATTGCTTTGGTTACGTGATCACCTCCTATGCGGAGGTAACCTGCTAAGTGGATGAGGGAAAGACTGTGGATGTAGGCTACCTGGACTTTACTGAAGCCTTTGGCACTGTCTCACACAGCATTCTCCTGGAGAAGCTGGCAACCCATGGCTTTTCCAGCTGCCCTCTCTGCTGGTTAAAACTACTGGATTGATGTCCAGGCTCAGACAGTGGTGGTAAATGGAATTACACCCAGCTGGTGGCTGGTCACAAGAGATGTTTCCCAGCCTTCAGTCAATCTTAAAGATTTTTATTGGTGATCTTGATGAGAGGATTGAGTATACCCTCAGTAAGTTTGCAGGCAACACCAAATGGGGCGTGAGTGTTGATCTGCTTGAGGGTAGGAAGGCACTGCAGAGGGATCTGGATAGGCTGGATTGGTGGGCAAGGCAGGGATATGAGGTTCAACATGCCATACCAAGTCCTGCACTTGGGTCACAGCAACTCCATCAAGTGCTACAGGCTGGTGCAGAGCGGCTGGAAAGGGGCCCAAGGAAAAGGGCCTGGAGATGCTGGTCAACAGCAGCTGAACATGAGCCAATGTGTGTCTGGGTGGCCAAGAAGGCCTCTGGCATGCTGGCCTGTACAGCAATAGTGTGGCCACAGGGCCAGAGTGGTGATTGTCCCCCTGTTCTCAGCACTGCTGAGGTCGCACCTCAGATCCTGTGCTCAGCTGTGGGCTCCTCACTGCAGGACAGACATTGAGGTGCTGGAGGGTGTCCACAGAAGGGCAACGAGGCTGGTGAAGGGTCTGGAGCACAAGTCCTATGAGGAGTGGCTGAGGGAGCTGGGGTTGTTCAGCCTGGAGAAAAGGAGGCTCAGGGGAGTGCAATGGAGACTGAAAGGAAGGTGTAGCCAAGTGGGTCATTCTGTTCTCCCAGGTAACAATTGGGCTAGAGGAAAAGGCCTTAAGCTGTACTAAGGAAGGTTTAGATAAGGTATTAGGAAAAATTTCTTTATTGGAAGGGTGGTCAGATATTGGAGAAGTGTGCCCAGGGGAGTAGTTGAGGCATCACGCTTGGACACGTTCAAAAGATGGGTAGACATGGATCAGTGGTGGACCTGACACAGTCAGGCTAACAGCTGGACTCAATGACCCTATGGGTCTTTTCCAACCTAAATGATTCTATGATTCTATTGCTTGTAGTTATGTGACGCCATATTTGAAATTTATGTATTGTAGAAGGTAAAAAGCAAACTTCAATGATCAGGCAAAATAAAATGTGTATTTTGGAGCATATTGATGAGCAGTTGGGTATGTGTTTTATTGGTTAAAACCCCATATTGGATAATAGCAAGCTCTACACAAGTTAACTGCAATGGAATGCTTTTTCAAGGTAAGTCTTTGCTAGCATAGCAAGTGGGAATGGGATCATAGTCTTCATGTCTTCTCTGCTGAACATCCTGCTATTCAGTGCTAGGTACAGTTTGAACCATTCCTTCTCTAAGTGTAATTTGTATTTGAATCAGTTTCGTACTGTCACTACTTGTTATAGGCTCACACGACGGATACTCTGAATTTTATTTCCTCTAAATAGATCAAGTGTATAATTTGTCACTGCTGATTCTTGTTGTGGTTATGTGGTCACGTGTGTTATCTTGTTCTTCACATTTTTACAGTCCCAGAAGACCTTTTCTCCTCGTATGTAAACAAGAAACTTGAAGTCCTCCTTCAGTGAGCTGGAAATTCAATTTTTTTATGTTCCTTCTTCATTCTCCAGTTGTGACTGGGAAATCATATCAACCTGTTGCAAGGTATAATTTACTATTTTTTTGTTATTTCCTCCTTGCAGTAAAGCTGGTCTGTTTTATTTATCTTCAGTGAAGTAGGGGGAAGTTGCAGGTGTTGCAAGTGCATTGTTTATTTTCACTACTGTCAGGATGTGCTTGTGTTTTGTATTTAGAAATATGAAATTTTTAAGTAAGAGTAAGCTCACATAGTTTCTTCACTGTGTCACAGCTACGACCTGCATCATAATCAAAAATCTAAGTTACTTGGAAAATTTTTTGTCATGCTGTGCATTTGCATAGTCATAGGATACTTCTGTCTAGTAAAGCAGGTGCTGAATGATGGCCTTTTTATTAACTGTGCTCATTTTTGTTGCTAGCTCTTTTAGCTCAAGATTCCTGTATTTTGTGATTGCATGCCACCTGGCCTTCCCCCTGTTTGGTACCCTCTGTTTTTTTTATGTGATCCTTCTTACTGCAGTATTAAATTCTATAGAGAGCAATGTACCTTTTAAAATGTCTCTTTAAGATCAGAGAACACACATATTACACACCCTGGAGCTGAGGCACAGAAGCTGAAAGATTCATTCAGTGCTGTATAAGAAATGTGCGACTGCAGACCAAGACCCAGTGTTGGTAAGATGATTTTTATTCTGTTCTACAGGAGACTAGTTCACTGTGAATTATAAAACTCATCCTATGAAAAAGAAAGTATCAGGCTTCTGGAATCAGGTTCCACTTGGCTCCTTTTATCTTTGTGCAAACTTAGAATTCGGCAGTATTTTGGCAAGTGAAAATTTAATTTGAACAATCTGTCTTGTTGTCCTTTTGTGGAGCTTTTAGTTTGTGACCACAATTATATTACATATTATGAACACAGATACAAAGATCCTTTGATTGCACAAGTTTTTAAAATCAATACCCTTCAACAGTAGAAATCTTGGTGTAATTTGCAGCAGTTGACAGTTATTAAACCTTGTTAGCAGCTCCAGAAACTTAACTGTGCCATTTGACCTGAAGAAAACTGCTGCCATTTAAGATTACAGCTTGGTGAGCAGTGCAGTTAATTGAGATGTAGCCTTCAGCACCAAACAAAGCTGACTAAAAATGCTACAACTGTTATGGCAGTTTGCCACTTTTTTGGCTGTGGTTGCACAACTGTTGGTAAGGCTTTGTGATAATATCGGATCACTGAACGGATCTGAATTAAAAATAACTTTGCAAGAACAAAAGTTGAAGGGCAGCTGTTTTTCAACTCTCTCTTTAGCTGGGGCAATTTGCAGGTTCAGCCTGCATTTGTGGGGTTGTGCTGTGGTGGGGGGGGTTAATGGCAGGGGACAGGTGTAAGAGAAGTGGAATTGATAAACTGAGACCTGATAGTTTCTATTGCTCTTGAGAAGATGATTGAGTGTGTGAAATTGCTGTTGGTGCTCATTTGATCTAGTCAAGAGATGGAAACTTGTTGCTTGATTTTAACAGCTTGGTGTTGTCTTGTGCCCAGCCTGAATCTCACTTTCTGTGCCCATCAGGGCTTTCCCCCATCCCCCAACCCACCCTGACCCCCACTCCCTGCTTTGTTGCTGCAACTTTGTAGCAAAATTAGCTACTTTTACTACTCTGTAGCAAAAGCCATGGTCAGATCAGTGCCTGCTGAGGGAGTGAATGGACAGAATTCTCCTCGTTCTGTGTGCAGAGATTCCCGTCCTTTGCTATCTGGGAAAGTAATTTGCTTTCTTTCTCCTGGTGAGTTTGTTTTCACAAGAAGTTCTTGGCCTGAGTACCAGTGTGAATCAACTAAATGCCAGAGGATACATCCATGCAGCTAGATGATAGCTTAACTACAGGGGAGCTACAGGCCACAGTCTCACCTTTGAGTCCAGCAAAATCAGGTCGTAGATCCTCCTGGGAATGTGCTCTGGTGCATAGAAAATAAAGATATGTTTGGTGCCAGCCAACATGGCTTCACTGAGGGGAAACTGTGCCTGAAAAATTTGATGCCCTTCTATAACAGGATTATAGAGTTGGTAGTTAGGAGCAGCTGACACCACCTACCTGGACTTACACAAAACATTTCCACTGTTCCTTGTCTCAAAACTGAAGAGACGTGGCATTTGGGCCACTTGTTGTATAAGGAATTGGCTGGATGGTCACACTCAAAGAGTTGTGGTCAATGGCTCAATGTCCAAGTGGAGGGCGGTGGTGAGTGGTGTCCTCAGGGGCTGGTATTGGCACCGGAGCTGTTTAACAGCTCTGTTGGTGACAGGGACCATGGGATGGAGTGCACCCTCAGCAGCTGTGCTGATAACACTATACTGTGGGGTGTCAATGTGCTGGAGGGCAGGGATGGCATCCAGTGGGACTGTGACAGGCTTGAGAACCTCATGTCGATCTCATGTAGGTCCTGCATGGGGATTGTGGCAATTCCAAGCAGAAATACAGGCTGGGAGGAGAATGGATTAAGAGCAGCCATGGGTAGAAGGACTTGGGGTTGCTGGTTGATGATAGGCTGGACATGACTGGGCATTGTGCACATGCAGCCTGGAGACCCAGCTACATCCTGGGTTGCATCCAAAGCAGGGTGGGCAGCAGGGCCAGGGATGGGATTCTGCCCCTCTGCTCTGGTCTGCTGAGACTGCACCGGCAGGGCTGCATGCAGTTCTGGGGTCACAGCACAGGAAGGACATAGACCTGTTGGAGTGAGTTGGAAGGAGGGCCATGAAGATGATGTGGAACAACTCTCCTGTGAAGACAAGCTGAATAAGATGGAGAAAAAGAGAAGGTTCTGGGAGACCTTAGAGCAGCCTTCCAATACCTGAAAGAGGGTAAGAGATTTGGTGAGGGACTCTTGACAAGGTCATTTAGTGACACGACAATGGGGAATGGCTTTAAATTGAAAGAAGGTAGGTTTCGATTAGATATCACAAATAAATTCTGTACTTTGAGGGTGATGAGGCATAGGAACAGGTTGTTTGGAGAAATAGTGGCTGCTTTGTCCCTGAAAGTGTTCAAGGCTAGGTTGGATGGGGCATTGAGCAACCTGGTCTGGTGGAAGGTGTCCCTGGTCTGCCTGTGGCTAGTGGAGTTGGAACTAGATAATGTTCAATAATGCTTTCAATCCAAACAATTCTATGATTCTGTGATTAATTGTAGGAGTGGTGTGGCCATCACTCTCCAGGCCTCAGTGTAGCTATTCCCAAAGCAGTAACTGGGGGAGCAGGGAGATACCAGCAGCAACAACCTGATGGAAGTCCCATGCCTGTACTGAGGCTGGCAGCCTGTCCTAGCTGCTCTTGCTGACTGGCATGTGTAGAAGAGTTTCCCAGTGCTGGAATGGCATTTCCATTTAGTTACGAAAAATCTTGTGAAGTCTCCTGCCATGAGCCACTGGACCCTGAGAGCCAGTAAATGTTTGCTCTTGGATTCATTACAAATTGTTGTTTCTTCCCCAAAATCTTTTTTTTTCAGTTCATGAAGAGGCCTAACAGAATGAGGCAGCACATCTCAAACTGTGGTTTGCTCATTACTAATGTCAGTAATAGGGTCACAGGCTGTATGTCAAATGGCCTTTTGTTGGTTTTCTGAAGATTTCTGCTAATCTCTGAGTGATTTGGAGGGAAGTTTGTAATCTGCTGGTTTACAAAACTTGGGAAATGTGGGCTTTTTTTCTGTCTTTGTTTTACCCAAGTGAACTCAGTTGTTGGTAAAACGTTTTAAACACTCGTAAGCTATAAAATTTGGAAGAAGCCAGATTTTTATTTGGGTAGTGTAAAAATCCATTGCAGCTACCAGTTCTGTCTATCTTCAATTAGAAGATTAATGAAAATATTTATTTTGGGTCAAAAGAACAGTCTTCCTGGCTATGTATCTATGTTACCCAAGCTGTAAAACTGCATTATTAAAAGGGAGCTGAGAAATTTTTGGGGCTCCTATTAGAGCTATATTGAAAATCTTCAAAAGATGATTGACCTAAATGGTAAGATTCTGGGATATCCTGGTCACTGCTAAGATAACTTTCTGGTATGTGCAGACGCTCTCCTTTTTTATACCTAATTTAAGTCTCGGTCTTAGTGTGTTGTAAGAGCTTTTTGACAAGAGTCGTGTAGTGGCCATTGAGACCATGGTCATGTTGAGTCTGGCAGGGAGCACTACACAGAATCAAAACTAATCTTATCAGATAAGAACACAACTTCATTTTCAGAAGTGCTGTCTGAGTTAAGTTTTTTGGATCACTGTATTACTTAGCTACTTTGGTGTCAAATTTGACATTCAAAAGTCTATCAAGGGATGAGTCAGCTGTGTTGTAATCCTCTGTCTTTAGTGCCTGTTTCTCTTCCTCTACAGTTTTACAAATTTGAGAAGACTTGCTACTGATTTGTCTGAATATTTCTGTATGCATAGCTCTAACAAAACGTTGCTAATAAAATATATAGTCCTATTCAGCCTTTTCTCTCCAGAATGTTTGCTGGCCGTATTGGGAGAGATTTGTCTGAGGATGGAGGGTTGAAAATTGTCTTCTAGACTGTAAGAGAGGGTGCCATGGAGTGTAGTCTTTAGGAGTATGAGCCAGGGTAAAGATCACTATACCTTTACTCTTCATTGTGCAGTGCATAATCAGCAGATCCACACCTGCAGGTGCTGTTTGGGATCTCTGTATTTCTTTGTGGTATGTTTTATGTGAGATTCTTCACTGAGCAGAGGGGATGGTCTGGTGCGGAGATTGACTCTTACTCACCTGACTCAGCTCCTGGTTACGAGGCTGCAGAGAGATTCAGTGGTGTCTCTGTGGTTAAACAAGTAGCCTGCAAAGAAGGCAGCTTATGTGTCTTACCTTCTTTCATGAAGGAGCACACCCTTATGACAAAATTGAGTTCCCAGCTTCTGCCAAAACTCATGTCTTTGCTTGAGTTTGAGTGATGTGGAAGTCAATATGGATAACTGTATAAGGTATGTGACAGTCATACATGTCTGCATGAATGCTGGCACACAGAGAAGCCTTTGAGGGACTGGTACTTTAGCTCTTTACATCCCACTCAACTTTGAGGAAAAGAAATTTTCACATCCCGAGTGGTAATGGAAGCTCCTGAGAGGGAAGAGAGATTTCCACCAAGTTTAGTCACTTTGTTCAACATGAAAACAAAGGAAGTATTGTGAAGAGCTTTCTGGCTAGAAAACAGTAAATCTTCTCATGGGAGTCCACAGTTTCTGGTTTTGTTTTTAGTACAAACATGATGATGTAACAAAGTCATCTTGTTAAATAACGATACTTGTATGTTTAATGTTATCAGTTTTTGTTTACACTGTAAACTTTTTTGCCAGCTATTCATAGATTGCTGTAGTAGGACTCTTAAATACAGCAATGGAAAGAGCATTATTGTGTATTTCTCAAGGGCAATAGAAATCTGAATTAGAAACTTCCTTTGCTGTCAGGCTTTGCTGGTCTTTCCACTAGAAATAGTTTTGAAGTGCTGGGAACGTGGATGAGTAAGGGTCATAGTCTTTCTGATCACATTTTTTGTAAGCATTAGACTTCTGCTGAAATTCGTGGTGCTGCTTGCATACAAGCAGATGTGGTGCTTCTGAGACTAATCTTCAGGCCTGTCAGTGTGATGATTCTTAGTGCATACAGAAAGCAGAGG